CTAGTAGAGTAGGCTAAATTAACGTTAATTAGTACTAATTAGTCAATACCAGGAAGGAAAGAACAAAAATTCTTACATATTTTCTCATAATAAATACTCTCCACACATTTCTCTATCGATCTAGGCAAGAACCAAGCTTTTGTGATGAATGGAGGAGGGACAGGAATTTTTTTAATAATAATCCCTTTTTCATAAATTTAACAATATCTTTTAAGTAATTAATTTTTTTCTCAGCCAAATAATGTCAGTAAACCGAAAAAACTTCAGAACATATACTTCGAAGTGTCCTCTACAAACTGGGAACATTAGAGAAAAATTTAAATGAGCCACCTTCACCCTCTTATGGTTTTTTAAGCATATGTGAATAATAAAGACATCTGATCCAGCTGAGGAAACAAACAGAGACAAAATATTAAACGTCATTTATTGTTCTTTTAACAAAGATTTTCTGTACATCTTTACTTAATGGTTCCTTTGGATTACAATATAATTTATATACAGCAACTAAATTACTTAATCCACTTTCAAATAATCATCTGAGATTCTATGTAATAGAAAGATTACTACATAAATAAAAGTAAAAAATAGCAGAAAAACAAATAAAACGTACCAGAGTCTTTTCAATTTTATGTCAGTATTTGATCTGTTTTAATTTTAATGTTGCAAAATTATTTCTAAATAATTAAATCAATATCTTCACTATCAACATCCACTTAACATTTGTATGCCAAGTGAACTCACAATGTTTAGATTGTTGTTATTATGTGTTTCGATTGCATATTGGTTTGCGAACTGTCAGATATTGTGTGTAAGAAAAAACTTTTTTGAAGTTGACGGACAATCGAATCATCATAGTCATTATGGCGCACAAAACACTAACAAATAAAAACAACAAGAAAATTTTTAAAATTTAATAACATAATTGTCGTCCTCTTTATATAAGTGTACACAAATGTTTTCGTCACTCAAATCTGATTTGTCATGTACCCGATCAGCTGATATTGATGATCTTTTTTGTTGATAAACTTTTTAAATTTGTAAACAGAATTGTTTATTTCGCGTTGATATCATTCATTACATAGATGCAACTGGTCAACAAAATTGTGAGCGGTATCGGGTAGATATCTATCGGTCGGACCGGCCGTCTTCCTGAAATTTTGACCGGTAATATTCAGACTTTCCAAGAACTCTTTTGGAATGGTAATTGCTATAAGAATAGTGGGTTGATTTGCTTCATTATTTGCATAGATGATCAGCTGCAGCATAAATCAGACGATTTTAAATTTAAATCCGCTTGAGTGGGTGTAAGAGAAATACGTTTAATTCTGTGTAATACGTTAGCAAATAACAGCAGATAGATAAAAGTGTTTACCATCATCGTCAGAAATGTCTGCATCACTACATCTTTTGTATTTCTTTTCCTATTTTGGAAAAAAAAAGAGTATGTCGTATAGTTTATATGTTGTTAGGCGTAGTTAGTACGCAGTAATTCATTTTATTTCTCTATTATCTTTATTTGTTATATTTCATTTTAAATTCCATATATATGGGTACTCTAATCCTATAAACATAGACAATTTATATTTAGGTGTAAGTTCAAGTATCATAGACAGTTATATAACAGACAGTAGTCAACATATCTATACGAGATATATACGATAAAAATATGAATATTTCAAGTAGTGAATATAGCAAATGCAATTATCCTTTTTTTGAACGCTACAGATTTTTTGAAGATCTACAATAATATTGGCTGTGTTTATGATTATAAACAAGATTTTGATCGATCATTAGAATACTACGAAACAGCATCCTATAAGGATCTTACAGTATGTTTTTTTGGCTTTCAGGTTTTTCTACAAGATTTTTGTAGCATCTTACAGAATCCTAAAGCAGGATCATGTAAGATCTTGTAAGAATCCTGTAGGGTTGTTTGGTTTGGGATATTATTCTTAGATTTTTTGAGGTTAAGATAAGTTGCGCGTTTTTTTGTTATTCTTACAGGTGTTTCTTATGAGTGAATCCATACTTTCATAGGAATCTTCATTGGTCTATTACTAAGCAATAGAAGATTTGCTATGACCAAATGTGATTGAAATAAGCGACTGTGGAACATTGGTTGACCTGAAATGGAAAGGTTGTGGTATTTTGTTAGATTGCTGATATTTATTGGTATATTGGGTAATTGTTGAGCAATACATTCAATAGAAAACATCAAATGAAAATTTTCTCTTTATTTTGAGACCATTTTCAATGAAAATTTTCTTGAAAAAAAGTGAATGAAGCTACGTTAAATCAGAAGGTTTTTAAATTAAAATTACAGGATCTTAGTGTGCTGATAAATTTTAGAACTTATAGTGCAATGTTCAAAAGAAACCAATTATTTTTGTGTTAGTAAGTCCCTGTTAATAAAATATGTTTTCCCGTCTTTCTTCTTTTTCAGACTCAATCAAACTATGTATTAATGTTCACCTACTAGTACTACTATATCGATATTATTTATGCCACATTATCTGTCGTTAGATGTAGATTTTCTGCAAAGTTCTAGTTTTTGACGTAATATTGATTGATTTTTGAGAAAGAGAGACCCACGATCCAGCAGGGATTGATGTATAGTATTTGTTATTTGTCATTTAACTCTATTATTTCAGATGGCTACTGCTCTTATTATCGAACAATTAAAAGAAACATTCAAATCGGGTGATCGTGATAGTGTTCAAACACTTATTCTTCAACAATTTCAATTGTCTAAATATCCTTTCATTTATTTACTTGATTTAATTGATCAAACGCATGAATATTCATCTTATAATGGAACATTATCCAATTTTATTTTACATACATTTAGTCGTTGGCAAGATGAATTTTATAAAGTTTATCAAACATTATTTGATTCTCATACACAAAATCGAATTTTTTTTTTATTAGTACAAGCTCCTGTCACATCATTGGATATAATTATTAAAATATTTCATATTGAAAATGATTACATTGTTCATTGTATTAAAAGTCAACTATTATGTCAAGATATAAAATATAACAATCATAATATAAAAAATGCTGTTAAAATCATTTCTCATTTAAAAATTCAAAATTATTTTACAGTTAGAGAAATAATATTACCATTAATTATTAATAATCGAGATCATTTAATTGAACTTTATTTATCAGAAGATAAAGAACAACAAAAATTATTTTTTCAAACACTCGATCATTTATGTTATCACAAGGGAAATATGAAAGATATTCTAATGTATGTAAAATAACTTCAAATCAATTTTTCTAGTTTTGATTGGTTGAAAAATAATGATAATATTTTTGTTTTGTTTTTTTACCATTATATTAGGAATGATTATCATATACCATCGAATATTGTTGCTCTGTTAAATAAACGTCAAATAGTTAAATTAGCTGTTCGGTATCTAAATATTTATGCAATTGACAATGTTGATCAATATCCAAATTTATCTATATTACAACGAAAACGAACATTAGGCTATTTAATTAATGTTAAATATAGTCAAGATAAAACGATGAGTGAAGATTGTTGGAATGAACTCGTACAAGTAAGAAAAAATTAAAAAAATTTTCTATTTTTTTATTTAGTTTATTAACAATATTTAGGAAATTGTTGAAAATAATATTGCATTATCAGATTGTTTAATCGAAATGTTATGTGATCGTGATGATTTAAATGCTGTAAAATATTGGATGATTAAATTGGAACGATCACAACAGTCTCTATCACATTGGGTAAGTGATCTCAATGTTGACAAACAAATTATAGTATAGTATAAAAAGCATACATAAACTAAAATTAATTATTCTTTTCTATTTAGGTTCAAAAATATCTTTATACAAAACCACAAAATACAGTAGAACAAACGTCATCAAATTCTACTTTAACTATCGATTATTATAAATTATCAATACCAATAAATAAAATATATTTTGTTGATAATACAGAAAATTATAATCGTTTATTAGATAAACTTTGGTCATCAAATGATCTTATTATTGGTTTTGATTGTGAATGGAAACCTATGTTTAATAATAGTCGAACATCAAAACAACGAATATCTATTATGCAATTAGCATTTCAAGATGAAATTTATCTATTAGATTTATTGAATTATTTTCATACATGTAACGAAACACAATTAATGGAAAAATTAGCAAATCGATTATTTGATGATGAAAATGTTACACTCGTATGTAAGTAAAATAAAAATAAAAATATTTTATATATAGAAATAAAATTTTTTGTTTTCGCATTTTATTTAGGTTATAGTTTTCAATCGGATGCTCGTATGTTAATCGCATCCTATCCAATTTTTGAAAAGGCATTAGTATCAAGCAGTACATTATTGGATATGAGTATTGTTCAAAATGATGTAAATTTAATTTTATTTTTCTGATAATATTATTACTATATATATTATTTTGTATTTTTAGCTTTTAAGAGAAAATTCATCGATATTTCCATATTTATCTAATAATAATAATAATAATAGTAATAATACAAAAGAAAAAGGTTTAAGTGAATTAATTAAATTAATATTTGGTCAACCGGTATACAAAGGAGAACAATGTTCAAATTGGGAACAACGACCATTAAGATTGGCACAAATATTGTATGCAAGTAAGTAGATAATATTTTCTTTTTATACTTTTTCTCGTAAAATAAAATGTTTATATTGTTTACATTTTTAAAAATATATTTTATCCATTATTAATCATATTTCTCTTTTATTTATTTAGGTATTGATGCTGCTTGTTTACTTGACGCCTATAATTTTTTTGTTAAACAATCGCTATCGCCAGATTTTTTACGTTCATATCGTGGTCGAAAACCAAAGCGACTACAAGCAAATATTACTCGACAAATCGATGAAAACTACACTAATAATCAAATATTACAGACAGAACCGAGACAGGAAAATTTATCTATTAATCAAGTACGCAATGACATATTATAACAAAAATATGCTTTTCTTTTTTAAATCTAACACTTATAACGCCTTGCTTTGTCTACTCATACGCTCAATTCTTTGTTTGGTTCTTTTTTAATTCTTAACTAATTTGATAGTCACTTTTATTATGTTTTTATTATTTATTGGTATTACTACTATTATTATTAATCTATAGAACGATACTGTATCCTCTTTACGACCGAGTCAAGTCAAATTTGTTGCGGATAATATGCTACATGGACTTGGAAGAGAATTACGAGTGTGTGGTTGCGATTGTATTATATTGGACGATGATGCTGCCCACACCGATGCTATAAAAGTAAATAAATTAAAATAATTTTATTTTTTATAACTACCATTAATTTTCTTTTATTGTATAATGATACTCGCTTTTTATTTGTCTATGATCATTTTTTTTGCTTTATATTTTAGTATGCAAAAGCCGATAATCGAATTATACTCTCACGTGGTGGTCCATACAATTTAGTATGTTGACGTTTCTTTTTTTTTTTAAACTTTTTCTTCTTTAATGGTTATTATTTGTTGTTAGCTTCGCTCAAATACTGTCGAAGGTCGTTGCTATTGTCCACCTGATTTATCAGCAAAAAAACAGTGTGAAAACGTTATAAACCATTTTAATATTAAAGTATTACCCGAGGACATTTTTAGTCGATGTACTGTAAGTACAATTTGATTAGATTTTTATCATATTACTATTTAGATATGTTTTGTAATTAGATTTGTAATGGTGATGAATTTGATATTGTTGATGGAAAAGAAATACGAGCGCTTTTCTATAAACATTATAATTATAAACCAGAAGATACAGATGAACCTGAGTTATTAAATTATTCTAGTCAAATTATTGATATGAATCAAATGAAACTAATAAAAACTGGTGTAACATTGATACTAACTGGTTTAACATCAAGAAATCTTCCTTCTTATTCGGAATATTATATATGTATTAAATGTGGTAGGGTATATTGGCAGGGAACCCATTGGCGACGCCGACGACTTAAACACATAGAAATATTACATGATAATGAGGATGATGATATGATTCAGTTTGTGGATGATAGCAAAGAAGAATACTTTGATGCAATGGAAAATACTCAAACATAGTTATGTGTAGCTACTATGAAAATAACAACAAGAATAAGTTCAATTTTCTAGCACTACGTCTTTCAGCAAAACAAAAAAAAAATGGCTCCATTTTGATTTCCTATCCTTTATGGATAGGATAGTTTCTTTTTAAACGAAAAGTAATTGAAGTCCGTTGGAAATATGCACTTATAGCATTTGTTCTAATTTGCTTCCGATGACCAAATAAAAGATGAAAAAAAGTTTCTTTGATTTTAGTTGATTTAAGATCAAACGTTATGCTAATATACATCCAAAGTTTTCTGAAATACATAACGCTCTATGCCAACCACTTATCATCCAAGTATTTTTGCAATTAATAATAAAAAAATAATTCTTACTATAAAGTGACGGATAAAAGTTGAAGATCATTTTTATTTTTGGATTTTTTTGTGAACGAAAGTGGCTGAAAGATATTCGACGACAGATTTGTGTAGAGAGCACTTTACAGTAACTAGACACATAATAAAAAGTTTAATTTAAATTTAACCGAATTAAAAAAATAAACTTTTAAAAATTTAAAAAGTCTAAAATTTTCAAATTATTTAAAATTAATTAATAGTCATTTTTGGTCAATCAACAAGATAAAGCAGGCTTTTCTCATCAAAATAAGACGTTTCACAGATTTTTGCGACCTTTTTTCGACCGAGTTATGAAGTTTTCGCGGAAAGTACCGAACAGAAAAAAACAGCGAATTGTTAAAAGAAAGCGGTTTTAAGGCAAAAAAGGGTCGCAGAAATCGGTGGAACGTCTTATTTTGATGAGAAAAGCATCACTTTATAGTTAGAATTATTTTTTTATTATTAAAAATATGTGCAATATTCGTCTCAAAATAACCCAAATATTATTAATTTTCTGAAAATGTCTGACACATTTTTGTAACGTACTATTGAATCATCTAAAAAGTGCCTATTCGAGTTTTTAATATGTTCGAATAAGTTTAAAGACAAAATGCGAATCTAATGTATCGACATAATCGTTCAATGACGATGAAATACGTTTTTTTAATAAAATAGATTCACACCAACATTATTTACAAATTCTGTATATTTTTTATTTTGTTCAAGTTGCTCGATGGAGAGAAGTGTGCATTGACTGACTGTATTCAAAATATAGTAAATAACAAAGCAGCTATGTTTCTACTGTTTTATATTTCATATTATTAGTTGAAGATATCGGTTATTTCATATACAGTTTCTGTGACAACAATGATCATATCTGAAGAACGCTTGCTATTATAAGATACAACTTACCGAAATCAATTCAAAATATTTCAGAATATCAGGACACAAGGAAAATGATACGTTGACGATATAGTGAGCAACAATAACAGTTTGTTTGAAGAAGGTATTTTAGAGATCGAGTCAAAGATTGGTGATAGGAAACTTATTTTCCAATCGTTTAGTAATGTACGAGACTACGACTTTCATTACACGTATCCAATCGCTTTTTTCTATTAAAAGTCTATATTATCAACTGAAGGTCTGAGGACGTGTCGAGATACGTCTCATAAGCTCACAAACAAAGTTTCGGATGAAGAAATCCATATTTCGATTTTTAAGAATTCCTTCTCTAATTTAAATACAATGTTAAAATTAGATATTATCTATAAAAAAGCCATTTTTAACATGTCTAACATTCGGATAGGTTGACTCAAATCTTTACATCTCGTAAAGAAGCTTTAGTTGAAAGATTGTAAGTTTTCATTTTCTGAAGTTAATAAAATAAACGCTGGAAAATAGATTAAATTCATTCCGAATTTTTCTTGATAAGCTGATCGGTTGTATGATGACACATTTCATGAGTCCACTGGCCATTTAGTAACATAATCAATGGCTAATATGATCCATCTTTTTCCGCTCTATGTTGTGGGTAACCGCCCAATAAAATCAAGTCCCGAACTTTCAAATGGCTTGACCCGTGGTAACAAAGGGTGCAATTCTTCGTATGACTGACCGTCTGTCTTATAATTTTGACAGTGATCTGCTCATTCACTTACTATTATTTTTACATCATCATAAATCTTGGATCATCACATTCTATTTTTAACCATGCCAGTCAGGCCTTTTATACCTGGATGCCCATCATCTTCATGTAACTTCAAAAGTGAATCTCTCCTAACTCACTGTGGAATATAAGGTACTCTTCTGGCTGTCAACCAGAAGAGTACCTTATATTCCACACCTTATATTCAACCAGTGGTTGAATAGATACATACTGTTGAAGCTCTTCTATCCATTCTGCATAACGTCTGATAAGGTCCTTTTGTTTCATTAAATGCTGTAAACTGCATGATCAGTATGAATAGTAAATTTCAGACCTTCTAAATAACATCTCCACGATCTAAGAGCATGAACGATGGATAGTAACTCTAACTCAAACGTAGTATAATTCATTTCTGCAAGTGTTAGCTTTCTTGATTCATATGCTAATACACATTCATTTATATTTTTTGTCAATTTGTGTTAACACTGCTTCTGATACATATCTTGAAGCATCTGTTGTTACAATTGTCGGTAATGTCGGATCATATGAATATAAAACAGGAGCATTAGTGAGTTTGTTTTTTAACGTTGCAAATGTAGATTGTTCATGATGTGTTGATTTGAATGGAGTATCATGACGTAACAGACGAGTAACAGGTTCAGCAATAAGAGAAAATTCAGGCACGAAGCGGCGATAATAATGAAGGAATGAACGTAGTTCTTGTACATTTCTTAAGATTGGCCATTGTTGTATCGCTGCTGTTTTTTTCAACGAATCAACGCTTATACCTTCCGCTAAAACCATATGACCAAGAAATTGTGTTGATAATTTACCGAATTCACATTTAGAGAGTTTTGCCAGCAGTTTATGTTCTTTCAATTTGTTTAACACTTGTTGCACGTGCATCTTATGTGGCTTTAATGTTTTGCTGTAAATGGCTATGTCATCTAAGTAAACTAGTAAGCATTGATCAATTAATTCATGTAAAATATGATTCATTAATGACTGGAAGGTACTAGACGCATTTGTTAGTCCAAAGGGCATCACCAGAAATTTATATGCACCGTACCTAGTCTGACAAGCTGTTTTTTGAAACATCGTCTTCAGCTATCCTTATACGCCAGTATTCTAATGTCAAACTGAGCTTCGTAACGTATTTCTCATTATTCAGTTGAGCGAAGCACTTATCCACTCTGGGAAAACTGTACACATTTTGGACTGTTACACGGTTTAAAGCACGATAATCCATACATATGCGTAGGGTACCATCTTTCTTAAGAACGGATACCACGGAAGGTTCTCAGGCTGACTGTCTTAGCCGAATCAAATCTTTTTCAATCAATGAAATGATTTGTTCTTTAAGTTCAGTAAGCTCTTCTGAACTCGTACGGCGATAGTCCTGTTTCACAGGCATATTATCTGTTTAGATTAGGTAAGAGACTCCATGATCAGGCGATAGTTCAGTTAGTTCATTTTTAAATACATCTTTATATTCAGTTAACAGATCTGTTACCCATTGAGGCTGATCTTCTTTCTGTTTAGTATTATTATTGTTCTCATTGTTATCTCTTGTAAAAGTGGTATACAATGGTTCACATTGTTTTAAGCGGATTCCTCGTTTTAATACACTTGCTGAGATTAACATAGATTTAGCATCGTCAATGAGATGTAGAATTTTTGATTATTTTCAGATTTCAATTCATAAGCAGAAGAATCTTCATTTGAATATCATTGTCATCATGATCACGAATCAGTTTCTGCGGTCTAGGTTCTCGATCTGGATCAAGAAATCCTGATGTCTCGGCTCTAAGTTCTTGATTATCAAGCTTCGGGAGTCTAGATTCAGGAGAGTTGATACACGTGGCTCCACTGTTCACATGTGTTTGTGCTCGTTTCCTTGATTTTATTGTTGTTTAGAACGAGAATTTAAATAGAAAGAGTTTTTAGCTGGACAATTGATAGCTAAATGATTCGGTTGATGGCAGTGAAAGCAGAGTCCTTGTTTCATACGTTGTTCATGTGACGGTGCAGATTGTTCATGTTGATGGACGACCTTTGAGCATATTAAATTCAGTTGTAGCAGCCGGATCTGATGATGAATCAAACAGTTTAGCATCTGTTATGATGTTACTGAATCATAAGTCAGTGCTTCACGTACAGCTTCCTGTAAGTTTTTCACATGCTTAGTGCGTACATATCATCGTGTCTTCGCTGCAAGCCCTTCGGTGAACAAAGTGGATTGTGTAAGTTCATCCATCATTTCAATTTGTTCAACTAGATTTCGACATAAGGCAATGTATTCACATAGAGACTGTTTTTGTTTAAGATGATACAACTGATGTCGAAAGTATTTCTTGAAAATCTTCTGATTGAAAAGCATGTTTCAGTTTGATTCTAAATTCCAACGATGTTGTCGATCTCAAATTCTTCAATCGTAAATTCAGAAACCATTGTAAAGCATTACCGTCTAACAACCTTGATGCTATTGAAATTTTCTCATTTTCATTCATCGGATTGCTTTCCAATATTTCTTCTAGTGCAGTTATTTACTTCATTACATTTCATTTAGATTTCCTGAAAACTGTTTTAGTTTGATATTGATCTTGTTTACTCCTTTGGCTCTTCCTTGCTTTCTTCCACTCGATGTTGATGTGGTAGTTGAAAGATGACTCAAGATTTCTTGTTATTGGTGATCAAGTTTTTCGATTAGAATTATATTCATCTATATCACTCGTTCCAGTAGGTTCTAGAACCCTGTGGGATCGGGACTAGAGGAAAAGATGTACGATCGGGATTGGAGGAAAGACCGAGATCGAGATTTTCGTTCTATATATATACCAGGGAGAAAATAGAATGCATAAGGTGCCGCTAATTCGAAGTTGGGGCACTATCTTATTTTTGGTTTTCTTATACATCATTCGATAAAGAATTCCATGCTGAGCAAGAATATCCCGTTTTTAGCCTTCCTAGTGTGGTATATCTATCTATCTAGCAGAATATTATTTGTGGACCATATCAGTTAATGAACAGCTTTCTTTTTCTCGATACGCAAACATCATCCAAATTCAAAAATAACGTTATCGTTACATTCAAAAGACTTTTATTGCTCAGTGATGTAAAATTCAAAACGAAGTTAGGGTTTGACTATGAATGGTTTTACATTTTACATTTCTGAGCAACAAAAATCTTGTGAATCTAACGCTAACGTTATTTTTAAATTTGGATCAAAGCAGATTAAGTCAGAAGCAATAGCTTGTACTAGAGTCATCTGTGTACACACACGTCACTTGAATGTCTATTAAATACTTGCTGATGTTTGCGAAGAGAGAAAAAGAAAGTGTTCATTAACTAATACAGTTCTGACATACTAACATAATGATAATATGATATACAGAAAGGCTTAACATTTTTGAATGGTTTCAAGTGCATATGAGTCTAATATCCAGACAGTAAAAAACCACATCCCGATCAGGACATATATCCTAATCAGGACATATTTAACATCTTTACAGTGGAAGAAATTCTTGCTATATCCCTATTGAAATATAGTTTTTTTGGTTGTCACTTTTATTGAAAAAAAGGTGGCTGATGGGAAAGAAGAATTAATCAAAATTAACTATACTACAAAAAGAATGTAGTATAGTTTTCCTGCTCTTTCTAATGGTGATGTCAAAACTTTCCACGAAAATCATCAATTTTTCGCTAATGAATTTTATTTAAATAAATCGAATTTAGATCCCGATTGGCCTATATGTTTTGGCTGAGCGAAACTACCAGAATCTACGCTTACTGTCACTCGTTTTACGTAAAAGTCGAAAATACTTGAGAAGTACGCAAAGTTATTTTTTAAATATTTAAGTTACACTTGGTTATTCGCATTCTAGTTGTCTGCTTAAACTCGATGAAGTATACGAAACAGACAATGGTGGATCTGGCAACGATGATATCACAGAAAGCATTTGTCTCTCGTTTGCAGTGTGAATAACTGGTTGAGATGTTAACCTAGTAACTGGTTCAGGTGTTCGAATATGACTCTTGGTAAATAACAATGCATTTCCCCCATTAAAATGATGAAAATGATAATTAACTCTCTCTGATAATTTTTTGTATTGTCATGTTGTTTTATTTCCAGCTTCTGTGAAACGTCCAATAATATGTAATTTTTTTGAACGTTTTATCATAAATTGTTTCTATTGTTCACTAGTATTCTCTGAACTAAAATTATCTCCACCATCGGTCAATATGCATAATGATACATTTTTATCGTATCAACTGACCCATTGTTTTTTCTTAAATGATTTATTTCTTCAAAACATGTTGACAATCCGTGAGAACCTCCACTGAAACATTCAGAGATAATAAAATAATTAAGACTATTAAATATTGTGGAAATGCTTTCCGAATTATCAAACCATGACCGATCCTCTACTTTACAGACATCCGTCTAGTTTCCGACTTATTACCTCACAATAATCAACTGCTTTTGAGAAGTTATGAATGTCTCATCAGTTTTTCACTCATGTCAGCTGCTGCTCTTTCACACACACTGATAGAAGGATGAGTAGCCGGGAGAGATTTCCGCATAACTCCGAGAGCCTCTCCATAATAACTCAAGGCCTTTGAGTAGTCACCTGTGACACTGTATACATTTCCAAGATTGTTGTATGTCGTAGCCACAGATGGATGGTTCTGTCCCAGTGTTTTCAACTGAAGTTCCAGTGTCTTTTCAAGATAACTCAAGGCGTTTGAGTAGTCACCCATGTCACTGTAAGCCAGTCCAAGATTGCTGTATGTCGTAGCCACAGATGGATGGTTCGATCCCAGTGTTTTCAACTGACGTTCCAGTGTCTTTTCATAATAACTCAAGGCCTTTGAGTAGTCACCCATCTTTTTGTAAACCAGTCCAACATTGTTGTATGTCGTAGCCACAGATGGATGGTTCGGCCCCAGTGTTTTCAACTTCAGTTCCAGTGTCTTTTCATAATAACTCAAGGCCTTTGAGTAGTCACCCATGTCACTGTACACATTTCCAAGATTGCTGTATGTCGTGGCCACAGATGGATGGTTCGATCCCAGTGTTTTCAAATCAAGTTCCAGTGTCTTTTCATAATAACTCAAGGCCTTTGAGTAGTCACCCATGACACTGTATACATTTCCAAGATTGTTGTATGTCGTAGCCACAGATGGATGGTTCTGTCCCAGTGTTTTCAACTGAAGTTCCAGTGTCTTTTCAAGATAACTCAAGGCGTTTGAGTAGTCACCCAT